TATTCTCTTCACCTGTCAGTGGTTTTAATGTTATGGCTGATTGGTGTATATACACTTACCTGGGCAGCGGAGAATATATAGAGACCCCACTGAGGAGCAGAGACCACCATCATCACGGTGACAAGACACTTAGCAATTATTGCTAGACTTTCCGCAATCACCTATTCAGAACACAACCATGTAAGCAATTTATTTTGATTAGATAGATGCTAATTTATTTTTATGCTAACTTTACCTACACAATAAACTATTTAAATGCTTTCTTATTTACCTTTAAGCGAACAAGCATATGAGCATGAGCAAGAACCCAGAGAGGCTCAGCGAGCAACTCGGTTAGAGCGGCCATGCAGAAGATTCCCACAGCAGGTCCATAATGTGGGACAGTCTGAGGGTCTGGAGCCTGGAGTAGCCACAGCCACACACACACCAGTAACACACCCCAGAGACAGCCGAGTGGTAACCTGAGGAGCAAGAAGAGTGGGAGGGTCAGCCTTTTGTAGAATCACTGTCGAAAAGAATGAACCTCATGTTTTTTAGAGAAAAAGACAAACTTGTTCATGGTTTAATTAGGGCAGCATGCTGGTGTAGCTGGTAGTGTTGCTGCCTCACAGTTCCAGGATCTGCAGTTTGATCCTGAGCTCAGCTTACTGTCTGTATAGAGTTTCACAGTAGGTGACTCCCTGTAGGTTTCCTCCAGGTTCTCTGGTTTCCTCCCACCTCCCAAAAACATGTAAGTAGGTGGATTGGTTACGCTAAATTGCCCTAGGTGTGAATGAGTGTGTGAATGTGTGTATCCATTGTGCATGGTGCCCTGAGATGGACTGGCATCCCAGCCAGGGTGTATTCCCATCTCACACCCAGTGCTCACAAGTGTTCCCGTTATAGCCACTGGATCCACCACCACCAGCACCCTGACCAGGATAAAGCAGTTACTGAAGATGAATGACTGTTTTAATTAATAGGACAGGGGAGTCTGCTTACGTAAGCCATAGCAGGTTGATAACCTGTCTCCAGTTACGCCCCGCCCCTTCTCCGCTTAGACACGCCCTCCTGAACGCCTCTCTGGACAGGAAGACCAGTGTGGAGTACAGCAGCGTCAGCCTGCAACACAAGCACTGCTGTGAGGTTCACAACAAATATACACACCCTAAAACAAAAACTGTGGCAAGAACACACCATATCACAATACCAACATACCTGACGTTTACCACACCTATCAACTCCTTGGACACGAAGCGCAATGTGAACGCGTTCAGGAGGAAAGTAAGCACCCGGAACAGAACCTAAATAACACATGAACCCAAAGTCAGGTTAACTCAGCTCTACCGGCATGCAGTGGTGTACCCAGAGCTGTTTACATACAGATCAGGACAGAATCATACCTGAAGCAGGACGTTGTAGGATGCGAGAGTTGATGCACTCTTGAGGACGTCTTCAGAGCCCATGATCCAGTTCACACCTCTCAGGTAAAGAGCCAAGAAACTTCAATCACACAAACCACTCGTGAAGGACACGAATCATTAAAACCTCTGTTCACCAGTACTTTTCCACACATTACGACATACACCGTTAGACCCGTAACGACTGACTGAATGCATAGAGAACACTGGCAAAATCAATGACTGTAGTTATTGGGCAATATACGCTTTACTTCCTGGTTATGGAAAACCCTTTCATAATAAAAGTCACGAGACGCCTTAAGCGGAACTGAAAGGTAGTTCAAAGGTGGTGTAAAAAATACAAATGTAGAATTTGTCAATATATTATTTGTCAGATGTGAAGTGCATGCTCCGGTTTAGGATTGGCTGTGTTTCTTGAACGGTATGAAACTTTTATTTTGACGTGTCGTGTGAACAAACTTAAATGAGAAACGTGCGTTGTGCAGTTTAAAAACATGGCTGACTCACAAGGAAATATGTAATGTACTTTAGTGATTGTAGAAAAGTTGTAGTAGTGCTGCTCTACAGAGTAGGGTGTCATGACGGGTGAGATGAAACAGAAGTCGCCCCTTCTTAACTGTCTGGGTAAGTTACATAAAAACATTATAATATGCAGTGTTAGTGCTTTTTATTCTGGATGTAATTGTTCATTCATCTCTTCAGTAACTGCTTTATCCTGATCAAGGTGGTGGATCCAGAGCCTGTCCGGGGAGCACTGGGCTAGAGACAGGAATACACCCTGGATGGGACACCAATCCATAGCAGGGCACCATGCACAAACATTCCAGATGTAGTTTTGTCCATGACATGTTCTAAGTCTGAATGTGTGTGTGTGTGTGTGTGTGTGTGTGATGGACAGGTGTCCTGTCCAGGGTGTATTCCCATCTCCCACCCAGTGTTCCCGGGATAGTCTCCGGAACCACAGAGACCCTGACCAGGATAAAGCTGTTACTGAAGATGAATGATGAAAGGTGTTCTGTATTCATACTGTGAAAAGAGAATCTGCAACACTCTTAATGTCGTACTATCTGAGTATTTATGATGATGTCATAGAAATGTTATTTCCAGCTGCAGGACATCCTGTGTTAATCGCTATGTAAGGAATAAAACACGATGGAGTGTGCTGTTATAGGAAAATATTCAACATCATGGTGATGTGATGAGGCCTGATCTGAAGCAGAGTTACTGTTCCCACCCCAAAGTTGATTATTTTCCTATAACAGCACATCCCAATATGTTTTATTCCTCTTATACCACTTTAATTTGCCAACCATGACAATTTTTAATTTATGAATGAATGACACATAATGCTTTACCTGGTAATGTTGTTGAACATTGACATGACAAATTAGTTCCTATTGTCACATACGTTCTATCAGCTATAAACAGTTTTTCCTTACCAACCTCTCTTCATTCTCTTTTTGTTAAGGTAATAAGAAAAAAAACAGCTTGTTATGTTACTAAGAAACTGAAAAGCGCAAAGACTTTTAAATTGCTACTATACAAATGATAAGGTATTAAAACAAGCACATGAATATAAATATGAGAGTTGTCTTGCAGCTGACATTACTGTCAATTATTAATCAACACTTTTTGACTGATCAGATTCGAGTATTCAACACTGCTGTGGTATAAACTACTATTAAAACGGGATGTTCTACTTTATAAAAAAAATACCAAATGAAAAACAAAGAAAAAAAACTGCTAACACAAAGTATATTATCCATATGAATATTATCAGTGCGTGTTTGTATACCATACAAACTATGCTACTGGGTTATGACTAGGAAATAGTGATTTTTGCTCCACTCCTAACTCAGATGTTGTCTTGTCTTTCAGCTTATTTGTGTCTATAGCCTAGTTACAGGGAGACAAGGGGAAAATGGTGGTCTCAGCAGACGTTTTCATCTCAGCAGCCCAGAGGTTTCTCTGTTGTGGGAAGAAGAAAAGACAAATTCCTCATTCATCATGTCTTGATATGGCGGTGCAGATCATTGCTGTTGATCAGGGCCTTAAACCGGCTGTTCTGTACGACCTTAACGGCGCAGGTGCAGAACAGATCCAGCCATATGTCAGCTCACTGCAGGAGGCTGGAGTACTGACCACAACACTCCGGATATTCTCCATCAATGGAAGTTGTCTTGTTGTGAACTCTAATCTGATGAAGGAACATTTGAGTGAAGTGCTTAAGAAAAAGAGCCTTCTCACTGTTGATGTGTGTCCATGGAAGGAGCAGCCATCTCTGATTGTCATGGATAGTAGCACCAAGCGTATGGTCAAAGACATGCTGGACTTTTTTATGGACGAAGAGGACGAGCAGCCGTCAGTCAGTGTGGTGGGAGAGGAGCTGTATGACCGGTGGAACTTGTGCACACTTTTTGGGATCCTCCTGGGCTATCCTGCTTCATACTGGTTTGATCAAGTGCAGAGTTTTGAGAACTGTCTGAGTATGACCCCACTGGTGGTAAATAAGGTTTGGGTTTGCTGGCCAGTATGTGATACAAAGCACAGCAGTTGTCTTTACTCGTTCAGTGTCCCTGAAGTGTTGTGGGCAGAAGTCGATACCTATATAAAAACCTGGGTGGAGCATTTGAGAAGCCGATTTTGCAAACAGACAGTTTTGACTGAACTCAGTATTTCAAAGGAAACAGTCACTTTGCCCACTGTAGCCCTGTGAGTGCTTGTGCTTTTATACGGTTTAGTGCTCCAGAGCCTTGTTTGTGTTCACCACAGCCCTGATGTGGAGAAAACTATTACACACACTTTAAGACAGACTGGCTGATTTAGATTTTTTTTTTAAGTGTAATGCACTAATGGGTTCATGCTGTGTTTCTCCTCAAAAGTTATTTGGGGAAAAAGCATTACAGAGTAAATAATCCACCTCATTCATCTTCATTACACCTGTTACTGTGTTCCACTTGTGCTTTCTCAATCACTGATGATGATGTTATGTGTCAGCAACATGGGCTGAAAAATATCAGCCGCAATAAAAGGGCATTTCACTCTGTGTAATCACCTGACATGACCATCACTGATAGGGTGTATGAGTTTAGAAACTGGGCTAGAAGGAAATCAGCCCCAGTCTCACTTATTCATACCATTCTCTGTATATTTCTTATGATCATTGGTGGTGGTGTTGCATTTGGTTTCCTAGAAATCCAACATACTCCACCTGGCAATGAAATAAATATGAAATGAAACTTTATACTGGTGTCTTTTTATCTTTGAAAGATACAGGGCTTAGTCCTGCTACAGCCCATTTATACCTGCCACCCTTGCCCCTTAAATCTTAAATTAAATAATCTATGTAAAATACATTTTTTCTATGCCCAGGAAACTAAAATAGGGTTAGTCTTGGGATCTACACTGTTACCCTCATATAATTTGGGGGGGAAATATCCTTGTCCTAGCCAGCTAATTAACTGTTAGTCCACTAGCTTGTATTTGCCACAAGTAGATATGAGTGGGAGTATCTATGTTTCATATTTGCATTTGTCGTGTTGTCAGTGAGTTATATAACAATAGCCAAACCAAACTATATCACAACACAAGCATTCAAGAGCAGTGTTAGCTCAGTGGTTAAGATGTTGGCCTCCTGATTGGAAGGTTTTGAGTTCAAATCCCAGAGCTGCCACTGCTGGGCCCCTGAGCAAGGCCCTTAACCCTCAACTGCTCAGTGTATAAATGAGATTAAATGTAAGTTGCTCTGGATAAGGCCAAATGCTGTGAATGTAAACAAATCTGTTTATCATGAACATTAGCAGAGTTAGATAGCAACTGGTTAAGTGCTAGTAAATGAGATTTCCTTTGACACAAGTGGGATTTTAGCACTGTGATATTCTCAGTGATTTATGTAACCCTGAAATACCACACCAATCCATCTGTTTTTTTTTTGTTTTTTTTTTAATTAATAATATTAGCTAAGTCAGTTAATTCACACTATTGCTAGTTGACTAGTAAATTCACTCTCACTTCTGACAGGTAAAAGATGAGCAGGATTTCTGTAATTGCAAATTTCTCAGTGACTTATTTAGCCAAGCCAATCAAAACATACCAAAACGACCACAATTTTACCTACTTTAGCTAGGTTAGCTAGTCCGTTAGCATTAGGGGTATGTTCTGTGACTAAAAGATTCTGGATAACACATTGTTCTTATGGCATTTGCCACAGGTTCAAGTTTATTCGAGCTTATTTATTGAAATCTAACTCTCCCCAAATCCTTTTATTTATTTATATTTTTTTGCAGAAATACAAAGAAAGGCTTTTAATTATTAAAGGGTTTTTTTTTTTTTACCCAAAAATTTGACCCAAAAACCAGAAATAGCCGTTGAACAGCAGTTAACCATTTACAAATCACATTTTAAAGTTCAGAGGTACAAGCCTAAATGCATACATGTGTCTTAAATATTGAGTATTACTCAACAATGAGATAATGAGCTGAATATCAGATGTGAGACTATGCAACCACAAACATCTAACTCTCTGTATTATCATATGAATCCACCGCAAATGTTATTTTATTTTTAAAACAGTTTGCATGTACTTTAACATGAATTAAGGCTAATGTCCAGTGACCCATCAGTTAGTCCTATTTAGTAGGCAGTAAACTAATTAAAAACATTCCATCACTACAGTTAAAAAGCCTAATAACCATACACATTTCTGACTTTCACTCGAGTTACCCTGAGTTGCAGGTAATAGAACAGTTAAAAAAAAAAAAAAAGGAGTGACAGTTATCAAGTCTTATAAGGTCTCTCTGCATTAAAAACCCTCTACCCTCTTCATTTTCCCTTCTAACATTCGTTCTTTTCAATCATGTGGGTTAAAGTAAATGAAACAAGCTAGATCATTTAAAACATGGCTATTGCTAGCAATAATAGATAATTAAGTCAGTTTGTATTGTCTTCCCATCATTGCACAGTGAGGTAGAGTCCAACAATTTTTATAAGTCGTCATGCCAAGGTTTCTGAGTTTCAGTACCACTGAAAGTGGGGAAAATGTGCCATGCATTGGCTGTTCTTGGTCTTAGATGACACTGAGGATTGGCAGCACTTCTCCACATCGAGCGCTCACTTTAAGCTCAGCAAGGTGGTCAGCTCTCGTAGGACCAATGTTCAGGATGGCCACTGGGAGTCGTCTCTCACTGGCTGCTAACAGGAAACGGTACCCAGAATACACCTGGACATAACAGTAGAGCTGCATTTGGTAAAGTACCAACCATGAAACTGTACTTGTGACATATAAAAATGCTGAGCATTTGTGTTTTCCAAAATACATTAAAATATTCTTATAATATCTTTTAAATATTCTTATTTTTTCACAGAAATACCCATTTGAAACTTCTAGCACATTATTACATTCAAACATGTGAAATGTTTAAATATTCTTATAATATCGACAATATATAGATATTATAAATATTCTTGTAATATCTCTTAAATATTCTTTTTTTTTTCCACAGAAATACCCTTTTGAAACTTCTAGCATATTTATTACATTCAAACACATGAACCGTGTCAGCTGCGGTGTCAGTGAGGGCAAACAGAGTCCGTGAGTGCAAACTGAAGGCCTGTGGATTTTCACTGTCAACCAAGGTGCAATCAATCAGCAGTCTTTCTGTTCCGCTTACAGAAGAGCTTGTGACATGTGCTTCAGGCCAATATCGGCTCTGATAACAATAACTAGTACTGAATCAATACTTCCCTTCCTGTTAATAAAGAGGGACAAAAACTGCATTCATGTTCATGGTATCTCCTTGTACTTGTATAATGATAAAGCACTGTCAGTGCTCACCTGCAGTGAGGATCCAGCCACAAGCACAGCATCAGCCTCAGCCAGCCTCTCATGCACAAACTGCACAGTTGCTCGGTCCACCGTGTCACCAAAAAACGTCACAGCAGGCTTAAGGATGCCACCGCAGGACTGGCACGAGGGAACCCTGAACTGCAGCACCTGTTCATCCTCCAACAACACGTCTCCGTCCGGTGCTACCTCGCCTGCGCTTGCCTCCCAGCAAGGGTTCAGTGCAGCAAAACGCTTCTGCATCTCCTTCCGTGCAGTCAGCTGCCCACAGCCCATACACACCACCCTGACACACACACACACACACACACCAATGCACACTCTGCATCAAAAATAGAATAAAGCTAAAAAAAAATGTGAGTTTCAAACTCTAAGCTTGTTTGATGATGTTTGACCAATTTCACATTTACTTCTAGTGACCATTTATCATGGAAATTAACCAACTTTTTAAACTTATGATAACCAATAATACTAAAAATTATGTATCCAAAATGAAACCTTTGTTTCATGCGCTCAGCTCAATTGCCTGCTATCGTTAGGATTTGCAAGCATGTTAAAAGGTTTTATGTTTATATTGCTAATAACAGAGATTAGGATTTTTAGAGATTCAGACAATTTACACAATTGCACTGTAATAATGTTAAAAAAAAGCCTGGTCAGCAGTATATTCACTGATAAGCAGTGAACTTTTCCACCTAGAGTACCTGTGTGAACAGCCATGAAGCTCAGTCAGTCTCTGGTGTCCTGCCTTTGAATGTAAAGCATCCACGTTTTGAGTGACAAGCCAGTGAACTTTGCCTTTCTCCTCCCAGTCCCTCAGGGCATAGTGAGCTGAATTTGGCAGGTGGGAAGAGAACAGCGGCCAGCCCACATAATTGCGGGCCCAGTAGCGCTGCCGAGCCCTGGAACTGCACATGAACTCGGTGTGCTGCATTGGCCTGCGATTTGTGCGTGCATACAGCCCCACACGTTCTGAACGATAGTCAGGGATTCCTGACTCAGTCGACATACCTGCTCCAGTTAACACAAAGAGACGTGAGGCTTGTGATACAAACATCTGGAGCTGCTCCAACGAGCTCCTGTCTGCCGAGCTGCTGGATGGAACAAAGTCTAGTGCGCCGACAGGAACTGAAGAGGCAGCACATCTTCCCACTGCCACACACTGAGGCAGGGATCGCCATGGCCGCAGCATCTGGAAGAACAGCAAACGTTAGAAAAGTAAAGTGTAGAGTCCATTTTGCACCTGTTGTAATAACTGCACTGCTGCAGAACCTCTTGCAATTCACTTTTATGTTAAAGGATTAATCATTAAATGCTTATTTAACAATTAGATATATGCATATATGCTTAATTACATATGCTTAGTTTACATCTATAACACAGTTAGGGCAAACATTAATAAAATATCTGTGGATGTATATGTCAATGAGAGTATTGTAACTGTTAGCTGACATTGATTTGAACAACTGGGTTACCAAAATTCTGGCTTCTTGTAGATCTGCAGGTCCTGTACCCATTCATTTGTAAACTATACATTTGCTTAGAGTGACTTGAAATGTTTAAATTGTTCAAAATAATAGGCACTCAATCCATACATCAGATATGAAAAAATTTCTGGAAATGTAAGAGGAGGCAGCATATCCAGGTCATTAATCCACTCTGCTTGGGGGTTTCTATGGATCTACACTGTCAGTAAAACTAATTCTATCCTTATACTAGAGGTTGGTACTCCTTTTGTGGTATGTTGTGATACAACCTCTTCTCTTTTAAGTCCAAAAAAGTCAGTAAAACATCTCTTCAAGCTCTCACAGCATGTGTGAATGTGTTTGTAACATGTATACAAAGAACTAATGTCACCAAAAAGGCAGAACAATCCCATAATGCAGCATGATGATGATTTCTAAGGCCTATAGGAGTAAACATGGACAAATTCAGTCATGTACAGTGGTAATGCATATCTATAATAATCTGACAGATACGGACACAGACACATGGTTATTCATGACGAGAAAGCACAGAAATAAAGCGCTTTGCTTTTCCTATAAAACATTTGCGAGTGTAAACTGGAAAGCATGGCATAGAGGTTCTGGTGTCTTGATGTCTATGAGGTCATCTGGTGTAAAATAGAGTTAAATGGACCAACTAGGTGTGTAGGAGATGCGGTGGCTCAGTGGTTAAGGCTTGAGCTACAGATCAGAAGGTTGTGAGTTCAAATTCCAGCACTGCAACGCTGGACCTGTTTGGTCCTTGAGCAATACACTTAACCCTCATCTGCTTGGTTGCATCCAGTCTCAATTATATGTAGCTTTGGATAAAAGCATCAGACAAATGTGTGTAAAGGATTACATGAAAAGAATCATCTTGTAAACAGTGAATTACTGGTGATCACAAGTAGTCATAAGAGAAAATCCAGCATCTTAGGCCATGCAAATGTGAAACTATATGAAGTGCAGTTATGTACAGTCTCCAGAAATGGATTGGGCACATGTTATAACATCAGGACTATACTGTAGGAACTGTATTTATAAACCATTATAACTAATAAGTTCCTATCCAGGCTATAAGTATTCTCCCCTGTAGCCTGACTGTAATATAGAGACCAAAGTAGGCTGCATTTTTAATTATTTCCTCCTTGTGAAAAAGAATCATTACAAAGGCAACTCTGATCACAGCATTTTCAATCAAAAAAAGAAATAATTCCTTTTTTGTTTAAATTTATCATTCATTTTGACCAAAAAAAAAAAACTTTTGAAAGAGTTGCATATATTAATAACGTTGTTGCTGTGTGATTTATTAACTTTATTCACTTAAATAAACAGAAAGCTCTAGC